GAACCACAAAGGACCCCACCACCTCTAAAATTCTATGATACTATGAGATAGGTCGTGCAAAAAAATTGTCTCCATTTTACAGAAGAGAAAACTGGGGCCCAGAGAGGGATAATGATTTGCCCAAGGTCACACAGATAGTAGGTGGCAAATATTAATCCTAGTCTCCTGATTCCTAGCCTGGACTACTACCCATCACTTCCCCCTCTCCCCAAACTCAGGCCATCTGATAATTAAGGATCCAAATCTTAGGACAAAGCAAGAAGAGAAGGAAAATACATTTGATCTGGTATTTGGGGGATGGGGAAAAAGGGGGACCCCAGGAATCCACAGACACCAGTGCCTCTGGCTGGTGGTTTGGCTGGTGCCAGGGACAGGGGATGAGGCTGTTGGGTGAGTTCTTTACTCCATTGTTCTCACCCTCCCTCAGAGTAGGCCCATTGCAAACAGATTCACTTGGTTGGGGCTATCTGTGAATGGAGCCCCTTGTGTTTAGTACTGCTTGGTCTAGGGTGGGTTTGCAGCTCCCCTAACAAGGCTGCTGCCATAGGGAGCCACGACCTACTTCCCCCTCAAGGAGGCAGAACAAGCCAGGTTTGTGTCCTGGGCAGGCACCGCCTAGAGAGGGAGCAAAGTATTTGGGGGGTGGACAGTGCTGGGGTAAGTGAAGGCACTGGCTTCCCCCATCTGCCTCTACCTGGAGTCCCCCTTCCTTGGATCAGACCAGTCGGCCTGGGCCTAGGACAATCAGGCAGGCAAGCAACAGACTTACTATGTGCCAGGGACTGTACTAGGTTCTGGCAGTACAAAGGAAGGCAAAAATAGTCCCAATCATCAAAGAGCTTACATTCTTACACAGGAGACATGTTGTTGTTTACTCATGTTCGACTCCTCGTGACCCCATTTGGTGTTTTCTTGACAAGAGATACTGGAGTGGTTTGCCATTTCCTTCTCCAGCTCATTTGACAGATGAGAAATGGAGACAAACAGAGTTAAGTGACTTGCCCAGGGTCATACAGCTAGTAAGGATCTAGGCTAGATTTGAACTTAGGTTTTCCTGACCCAGAACCCTAACCACCATAACACCTAGCTGCCCCTTTTAGGGGAGATTATGCATATATATGTGTATATATATGTATATATACACACATGTATATATATATGTACACACACACATATATGTATGTATGTATAAGATGCATACAAGGTAGATAGCAGGTGATCTGAGAGGGGAAGTTCTTAGCATCTGGGGAGACTGGGAAAGATCTACAGAAGATGAACCTTGAGCAGAGTCTGGGAGGAAGCCAGGAAAACCAAGAGAAGAAGGTGAGGAAGACAGAGGCCCCAGCCGAGGGGGAATGCCAAGTCACACAGACAGGCTAGCTATATCTCCCCCTCAGGGTCCTGTAATGCTTTCAGGACAAGTCTGATGTGTTCTATCCATCAATCACTAGCTATAGTTAGTTTCTCGCTTGTATCATTGACCAACCCCCATATGATTAGTGCCCCCACTATCGATTTAACCAGTCAACATCAATTTTAGCTTTTACAAAGGAATACCTACTGGGAAAATATAGCAAGAACAGCAGTTACAAATACATTCCTCTGAGCCAGAGACACATCCTTCCTCAGTCCCTGGGGAGAGTGGATTCAAACTTAGAACAGTTGCTAACAAAGCATATGCCCCACTAAGTTCAATTCCAAGTGCAGCATAGCCTCTAAACAAATCACTCTTACTGCCCTTCCTTGCTGCAGAACACTGCATGTAGGCATCAGTCTACTGCTGGGCTGGTGGCTGTACCTGATCTGGCTGCAGGCACAACTCTACCTTGGATCCCAATTCCCAAGGTTCTAGTGCCTCACTCTTCTGGCTTTTCAAAGCTCAAGCTATCTCCAAAACTCCTTCACCTAAAACCAAGAAAAAACAAACTCAAAGAGGCAAGAGAGGTACCATCTATTTTTGTGTGGGCCTGGGTCGGGGAGGAGGGAGTATAGACCCCACGCGATCTCTCTCCCATCTGAGAGGTTTATAGAAAAAGGCCAGCTTGGTCAGTTAGTGCCTTTTGTATCCATTCCAAGTTCCTCTTTCCTACACAGTAAGAGGACAGGAAACAGTCATAGACTCCCTGTGCATGCTCCAAAAAGTCCACACGTGTGATTGAATTAGGCAAAGCATGATATCCATGCTCATAAAGATGGGGCTTTTGTTGACCAGTTCCCCATTACTCTAGCTTGGTTGTTCTATAGGCAGATTTTTACCAGGAATTAGACAGTGGCAATCCAAGGTGAAATAGGAAATGGCTAATTAGCAGCCTTTCAAATTGATTTATATCCTGAGGAGAATTTAACTACTAGGCTCCCAGAAGATTGTAACTGTGATGAACTTTTGCAAGGAAACACATCACAGTCATGCTAGATGGGAAGTGTAAATGGATTTCAATCTACACTGTTCAGCTTCCAAAATGATGAAGTTATAAATCCATTTGAGTTTTATATTGAGTGATAAATCTTGTTTAAATCATTCTGTTAATGCTCTCTGTGTTTCTATATGTATTTAGCATTTCTTTCTGTATAGGAATAAACTACCTATACCATACCTGATTTACATTGTGAATTGGGTACCTCTTTTACCTCCCCCACTTTAGGGAAACTTTAGACTTTTGAGCCATAACTGTTACTATTATTAGCTTCATTCTTGGAACTCTGGAGTGGGGCTTTGTTAGCAAGCCAATGAATGTGTGAATGAGTCTAATTCTGCTAATTAGATGTCAGGCTTCCCCGGGACTGAACCCAGTCCACAAACCAGTACAAACAGCAATGGCTGAGTTTAGAACAGGGAGTGGGACAGAATTTCTGCCCCTGTGGGCCCAGTCAAGCTGAGCTAATCCTCTTTCTGCCAGCCCAAATATTTCCCCTATAATCAGCCATTGCCTCTCCAGGAGCACCACAGCTAGCATTTGTAGGCCTCCTAGAACCTTCAGAACTTTCAGAATTCACAAAGTTATAGTGAGTCCTGGACATGTCCACTATGGGATGTCTGCTCCCCTAAGATCAAGAATGAATAAGGAGAGAAGTAGTAGAGGTGACCAGGGCCCCCATGCAAGTTTGCCTTGTTGCAGCCTCCAGCAACCGATTGCCATGTGGGCACCATGACGCTGAAGTGGAGAAATCCCCTGACCATCCCCTCCCTGGAGTCCCATCTGGAAAGCTACCTGAGAAACCATAGCCCAGAGAAAACTAGCTAGAAGATGTCCTTTTCATACATGCAATACCTTCTCCACTGTGGCTGTCACAGGGCAGGGGAAATGGCTGAAGGGCCACTCAGAGTACCAAGTCATATTAAAGGGCTAAATCCTTTCAACAGTGGCCCCCCAAAGCCCCACATTGCCATGAAGGTGGCTAGACTCAGAAAGCAGTTCTCCTGAAAAGGATCTAAGAATTTCATAGTGTGATAAGTGTGACAAGTTAAAAAAAAAAGCTGATGTAATCTTGGGCTTCATTAAGAGATTTGTAACGTACAGAATTCAGTAAGGTGAGAGATAGCACCCCTGTCTACCTTTCTCAGGCCTCATCTAAAGGAATGTGTTCAGATTTGGGCACCACATTTTAGGGAAGCCATAGGTTAACTAGAGGATGTCCACAGAAGGGCAGCCAAGATGGTGAAGGGCCTTATGATCATATCAGATGAGGATCACTTAAAGGACCTGGGCATGTGGAGCCTGGAGAGACCTTGGAGGGGACGTGACAGCAGTCTTAAAGCGTTTGGAATACACGTGCAAAAGAGAGATTAGATTTGTTCCACTAGGCTGGGGGAGGGTGGCAGGGTTTGGAGCAGGAGATGAGAGTGTCATGGAGGCAGAGTCTGGCTCCATGAAGTAAAAAGTTGATAACAGTGAGATGGAATGAGTGACCACATTGCTCACCTGAGGCCTTCCAGTGGGCCCTGGATGGCGACTTAGAAGAAAGCATTGTAGAGGAGATCCCCATGAGGTACCAATTGGACTCGATGGTCTGTGGGGTCCTTTCCATCTGTGAAGGCCTTGTACCCCAAAATAGAAATGGTTGGTGAATGAATGGAAAGCAAATTGAATAGAAAGACCTGAAGTGGGGAGGTGGCAATTGGAAATGGAGAGAAGTGCTACCATGGAAAGATCACCAGATTGGGAGTCAGGAGACCTAGGTTCCCATCCCAGCTCTGTCACTTACTGGCAATGTGACTTTGCGCAAGTCTCTTCCCTTCTTTGGACCCTAGTTTCCTCACCTGTAAAATGAGGTGGTTGGACAAGATGGTCTCCAGGGTCCCCTCCAGCTCTAGAGCTATGACCTTATGTGTGACCTTAGATGAGTCACTTCCTTCAATCATGAGATCCTAGACCTAGAGCTGGAAGGGCCCTCAGAGACCATCTAGCCCAATCTCCTCATTTTACAGATGAGGAAACTGAGGCCCAGAGTAGGAACATGACTTGGAATCATAGAATCCTAGTTCTAGAGCTGAAAGGAAACTCAGAGACCATCAAGTCCAACTTCTTCATTTTACAGTGGAGGAAACCGAGGCCCACAAAGGGGAAATGACTTGTCCAAGGCCATACAGGTCATAAGCAACAGAGATAGAGTTTGAACCTGAGTCCTCAACTACAGAATCATCATTCCCTTCCCCTGCAAAACACAGCCTCCTTCTCTGTACCTCAGTTTCCTTATCCCTAAACCAAGGGGGTTGGGCTAGATAAACTTCAAGGTTTCTTCTACCACAGATATCCCATGATCCTCTAACCTGTGTCTGCATTGGGAGGAGGAGGGGGCCCACAAAGGGAGGATTGAGGGAAGAGGGGGGAGAGGTATTTTTGCTGGGGTGAGGCTCTGGGGAGCATTATGAGTTTTGCCTGAGCTGAGCTCCAAAAATCTCTTCCCATCCATTGCTCCTCCTTCTCCTCCTCCTCCTTCTCCTCCTTCTCCTCCTTCTCCCCCTGGCCAACTTTTGCAATTGGAAATAGCTGGAAGCCCCTGCCAGACACAGGGAAGAAAAGACACAGTCAGTCTGCCTGAGGTCTGTGCAGACACACCCTTGCCTGCAATTTGGCTATTGGGGGAGGCCTCAGCCACAGGCTGCTGGAGGAGAGAAAAGCAGATTCCAGCGGCTAGCTGAACTTGTCTAGCCTGGAGTCCTCTAGGAATGGGAAGAAACAGCCAACGGAGACTGTCCCAGAAAGCTCGGGAGTTCTGTTGCTATCCAAACGACTCCTTCATTCTTTGAAGGTGAAGCTTCCACATCAAGCAGACTGGTATCCTCGGGAAGACTGGAATTCCAAGCCATCGGCAAGTGTCCGATCAGTTGCCAGCTTTGGTTGGACCTTGGGTAAGTCTCTTCTCCCCAGCCCTCAGTTTCCTCTTCTGTAAAATGAGGAGGTTGCATGAGATGACTTTGCTGAATTTGGAGTCCCAGGACGTCAGCTGGAACCCTGACAGGGTCACTGACTACATGAGTGACTGTGGGAAAGTCTCTTCCCCTCCCCAAGCCTCAGTTTCTTCATCTGTAAAATGAGAGGGTTGAGCTAGATAGTTTCTGAGGTCCCTTTCGGCTTTCGTTGTGTGATCCTACAATCTCTGGGGTCTATCTTGGGCATTCTACATCCCCTGTTCTAAGATCCCTTTCGGCTCTGACATTCTACACTCTAATGCAGAAATTCTTAAACTTGGGTGTCCTGGACTTTTGAGTAATCAGTCTGGTGATGCCTATGGCCATCTTCTCCGAATCAGGTTTGTAAATGGCTAAAGGGTTGTACATAGGATTACAAAGAAAACCAATTTTATTGAGACACAGTTATCAAGATATTTTTATTTACAAAGTTCACAGACCCCAGGTTAAGAACCCTGGCTTAAGGTCCCTCCAACCCTGACATCTTCTGTTCTACATCCTAAGGTGTCTCCCAGGACTGGTGTGCTATATTAATAATAGTAGCTATAATCTATCTAGTATTTTCTGGTTATAAAGTGTTTTACATGCATGATCTCATGTGTTCTTGTGAGGTGGGTACTATTATTATCTGCATTTGAAATTGCAGAAAACTGAGATAAAGATTAGTACCAAAGCCAGAGCTGAACTCAGGTCTCTCCTGACGCCAAGTCCACCTTGGCTGCCTTAATTTACTAGGCCCCTGGGGCCTTCCTAGCTCTGTGGAACTCATGTGTATTCCTGTGCAGTGAGCTACTGCACGCCTAGAATTTTCCACAGTGAAGATTCTAGAACAGAACCTGGGATCACATGACATGGATGAACCAATGAGGGGCTGGCTCTGAACAGCTTTCCCAAGGGTTTGTTGCTTAGTTGGACACCTTGGTTCTGATATTTTGGAACGCAGAGCTAGACGGGGCTAAGCTAGGCTGTGGTGGTCGGGGCAGAGCTGGGTTGGGCCCTAATGGGTTCATTTGGGCTGGGCCACTCTGGGTAGTGGTAGGCTGAGTTGAGCTGAGCTGATCAGGATGGTGATGGACCGAATTGAGCCAGGCTGACTCTTTTCTCCTTGTGTTTCCTTTGAAGGTCTCCCATCAGCTCACTTTCTGGCTTGCCAAACAGATGTAAAGATCCTCCAAGGCTCCATCTTCAATCTGACCCTGTTCTCTGTGGGTATTCAGTTAATCATACCTGACTGAAGATCTTCAATGGCTCCCCATTTCTTTAGCTCATAGGACTTTGAGCCCCTGCCCTGCCTTTCCACCCCTAATTGCCATCTCCCTAATTGGCAACAGTTTCCCAGTGTGCCCCGGGTTCTCTGCATCCCTGCTTCTTCCAGCCTGCTCCACCCCTAACCTCTCCCAAGCCCTTGTATCCCAGGGTCTTCTCCTTCCTGCTCGTATCCACTGTCTTGTGGCTGTTTTCTGTGCTTTGTCCCTCACCACCAGAACTGCTAGCTATAGCTCTTATGAGGATCCTGCCTGGGGTCCTCACTCTGACGAGGAACACATGAGCTGCCTTCCCTGCTTCTGAGATAAGATACAAAGAATGCCATCCCAAGGCAAGGACTGAAACCATCTCTTCTCTCAAAACCTCCCCCCCCACCCCTGCTCCAGCCCCCCAGGAAGCCCTTAGTAACTGGGAGATCTCTGGGCTGGAACAGGATGGAGCATGTGGAATCATTCAGACATCAAGGAGCTGGTAACACCCAGTGATACAGGGCTGGGCCCCCACCATCAGCCTTGGCTATTGCTACCACCCAGATCTCTTCCTTAGTCATGCTCCTGGGTTGCACACAGCCCAGAACGCCCCTGGAGTGGGATTTTGTCCTTTTTTGGCCCAGACACTGTCTATTGTGTGAGAGTGGCATGCATCCTTTGTGGGGCTGGGACCTATTAAGTAATGGGGGGGGTACCATCCAAACAATAAGCAGCTTGCACAGAATGAATTACAGTGTGAGAGCTGGATGGCACCTCAAATCAGCCTGTCTGTCCCCATCATGTGACTGCATAAGGGGCTCCCCAACAGCTTCTCTCTTGGCCATCAAATGCTCTCTCACTGGGACCCTCAAAAAACATACGCAGGGTCATTTTATTCCTCTACTCATGGTGGCAGGGTAGACGGGGACTCTCGTAGCATGCCCAAGACCAATTTCAACCCCTAGAACGTTCTGAGGTATTCCAGGGTGCTCCCTCACTGACTACTATGACGACACGTCACAGCAGTGAGTCAGGAAGATTTGGGTTTCAAATCCTGCTTCAGATACTAGCTGTGACCCAAGGCAAGTCACTTCATTTCCCTGGTAAAAGGAGGGGGTTGGATTCAATGATCCCCAAAGTTCTTCCCAACTCTAACCCTATGATCGTGGGACTATGACACCCAATTGCCTTGAGGCTAGCCCCTAATCTCCCACCTTCTATCCAAGGCACACAGGTGGAGAATAGCAAAATGGCCTCTTTGTGATCAACCCTATTCTTCTTCTCTGATGGGAAGATTTTAGAGCTGTAAGGATTCTTAGCGGCCAAGTCCAACCCCCTTCTTTCACAGAGGAGGAAACGAAGCCTCAGTGGAGTTGAATGACTTGACCAGATAGCAAGTAGCAGAGCCAGAATTTAGACCCAGGTGATTTCAAATCCCATTAGGTTTTGCCACTTCTTACCCGTGTGACCTGGGTCTGGTTACTTCCCTTCTCTTGGCCTCAGTTTCCATCCCTGTCAAATTAGGAAGTGGATCTAAATGACTTCTGAGGTCCTGGAAATTTGACAAGCCAGAGCCTGGGCCCAAAGAGAAATGGACCCCTAAGCCTGAAAGAAATCAGGCTTTGGACAGAGCAGAGATTTGAATGAGCTTTCTTTGTGTTTCAGGTTACCACCCCATGGGAGAGAATAGAAAGGATGGTCAAAGGGAAGCTGAGGTAAGCTATCTATCCCTAGGCTGGCTGGCTAGTTGGAGCCCCTCTGGTAGGGCCTCCTACCTAGGCATTGTAGGGAGAGGAACTGCCCAGAAGACTGTGGAAGAGTAAGGAAGAGGCACCCCTCTGAGGCCAAGCCTGTGATGATTATCTCTGATTGACAGATTCTGAATCAATCAGGGAACATCTGAGGCAACCCCAGAGGGGTTGCACCTATGGGAGACTGTGGGGCCTGGGTGGTGGTGGATAGTCTCAGACGGTGGCCTGAGCAGATAACATGCCATTCTTTGCAAATAAGAATGCCCCAAAGGGTCCCCAGTGTGGAGCTGGCTCTTTGGGAGCCAGGATGGGGTTCACAGGGTTCATAGACATAGAGCTGGTGGGTGGGCTAGCAGGGTAAAAGGCTCAGCTATCCCAGGGCTTCTGGACTGGAGAAGGACTAAGGCCCAATGTTTTCATATCAAACTTCTTATTGTGAAGAAGAAGAAGAAGAAATATATGACCATAGGTTTAGAGCTGGAAGCATCACCTAGCCTAGCCCTCTCACTTTCCAGGCCCAGGAAAGGAGAGGGTCTTGTCCAGGGTTACACACATAATGACAAAGTGACAAAGTCAGGATTTGAACACAAGACATTTGGCACCAAATCTTTCTGCTGAACTACTTTGCCCCCTTAGGTACAATATTCGATTGGGTTCACATTTCATCTGCTAGTTCTCATTTGGGCCCTCCAACCACCAGTTCAGGGAGGGAGCACAGGTATTATCTCCATTTTATAGAGGAAGCTCCTGGGACCCAGAAAATAGAAGTGACTTGCCTAAGGTCACACTGATAATAAATGGCAGAGCTGGGATGTGAATCCAATTGCCAGGCTGCCTTCCCTATTCACAACTTCTCAGAGGAGGGAGCTCCCTGGGCCCCGGGTTGGATCAGAAACCCCTGTCTGTTGGCAGGCCTCTAGAACACATTCAGAACATGGCTGCCTGGGTCCTCCATCTTGTGGCTGCCCTTGTGTGCCCCTGTAGCTCAGGGTTACCCAACCAGCTGAGGCAGGTCCCCTTTTGTTTGTTCCACACACTGAAGAGCTCCGTGTCCCTCTTGTAAATGAGCATGTGATCTTTGAGGGGAAAACCAGCACTGACTTAGTTACAGGAGCTTGCTAGCTCCCCTCCCCCCCCCACCCTGCTGCTAGCACACCTAACTTCTGGCTGGCCCTGAGCCCAGGTAGAGCTGGCCACTGAGGCCCTGGACAGGACGTGAGCTGGGAGCTTTCCTTTCAGGGGAGAGGAGAAAGTTGGAGCAGGGGAATGAGAGCCAAGACAGATGGCAGGCCTGGGCAGGTTGACCCAGGAGGGAGGAAAGCAGGGAAGCCACTAAAGAAGAAAACTGGCCCAGCCAAAACTTTTCTATCCGTGTGGTCAGTAGGTTGCCAGTCCTGCCCTAACCGAGCCCAAATCGGTATCACCCCTCTGGAGGCTCGGAAGGTTGGCTCTGTGTGAAGCTGGCTGTTATCAGATCACAGGACTCAGGGTTTAGAAGGGGTCTGGGCACATCATGCATTCCATCTCTCTCATTGGGTTTTTGGTTTGTTTGGTTGGTTTTTTTTAAGGTTTTTTCTGCTAAAATTTTGTTTGAACAGCTATAAATGTTGAGGCCTAGGAACAAAAGCCAGAGTCCAAGCAAATGAAGCAGGAGCCCCAAACAAAAGAGCGAAACCACAGAGAACTCCATGCAATTAAACAAAACACCACCAAGAAAGTGATTGTCAAGGCTTTGTGCACACGGCTGGACCAGAGGTCTCAGGCAAATGCAGACCACATGCGTAAGCAGAGAGGGAGCTCCAAGGCCCAGAGATGGGCCCAAGGCCATTGCACAGCTTGGAAGTGACAGAGCCAGGATTCAAACCCAGGACCTCTGGTCCTCTGTACCCTGTTCCTGGTGCTGCTTAGCTGATCGTGTTTCCCTCAGGGAGGGAGGGCAGAGTCGCAGCACACAGGGCCCCTCTCCCCTGGCTGGCATCGCCAGCCCCCAAGTGGTTTCCTTCAAACCCCTGCCACATCCCCGCTAATTAGCTGCCCACTCACGTCCTTCTGTGTCTCTGGGCTCTCCTCCTTTCCACAGGCCCCCTGCTTCCTGACTATCTGGGCCACGCACATATGAGGTTAGCTGGCCTTGGTCCAGGCTAGACCATTTCTTCAAATCATCCCAAGCCCCTACAAGATTCTAGCTTCAGTCTTACCTGATTTGTAAAGCTATTCGTTGGTATCCTGTTTATTGGGATCCTCCAGGTTGGGGTTTTTTTTTTCTCAGTGAAGCTGCTGGCAGAAGCAGCCTATGTATCTCCTGGACCCTTAGCTCAGATGCTCTGGCTAGCCTGCTAATGAGGTCAAGGGTATGGGCTCCATCCCTTAGTGGGGCCAATGAGCTTTGTTCTGTTCCATCCCTGACTGAGAAGCCAGCCCCACAGTTAGGCCCCTGCTCAGATACAAGAAGGATTGGAGAAGATAAGCAGCCCGGCAAGAGGCAGGAGACCTGAGTTCAAATCTAAGCTCTGCTACTTTCTACCTGTGTGATCAGGGTCAAGGTAAAGTAGATAGTGGTTTGCTATATAAGACCTGGGTCCAAATCCAGCCTCAGACACTTACTAGCTATGTGATCCTAGGCAAGTCACTTTACTGCTGTTTGCCTCAGTTTCCTCATTTGTAAAATGGAGATAATAATAGCGCCAACCTTCTAGGGTTGTTTTGAGGAGCAAATGAGACATGTAAAATGTTCTGTAGACTGTACAAATGCTATCTATTTGCCATTTGGGGGTCTTATTTCTCACATGTATGAATTGAACTATATGTTGTCTAGCTCTAAATACTATAGTAAAGTAGGTATCAGGTTAGAAGCTGCTGCTAATGTTCCCAAAGTGCCTGACCTGGGGATTGCCTGCAATGGGAACAGAGTGGAAAGAGCACCAATAATCTGTGTTTGGATCCTAACCCTGACACTTACTAGGCAGATGACCTTGGGAAAGTAATTTCCCTGCTCTGAGGCCAAGCTGCCTCACCTAGAAAATGAGAGTTGAGCTAAATGACCATTAGCCTTTCCAGTTCAAAAGGTAATCATCTAGGGAAAATAGGCAACCCTTCCCTGAGGTAGAGCCAGGAAGACTTTACCCCAGAGGGTCAAATTTCAGCCCTTTCCTCCCTTTCTACATAGGGACTATTGTTCTAAAATCATCAACAAGAGTAGACCACAAGACTGAAAGACAGACTGGGGATGAGCCACGGTGGGGATAAGTAATGGAAGCTCCTTCCATCCAGATTTCAGCCCTAAGGTATGATGAAATAGACATGTGCTGGGAGATGGCCAGGCATTGCGTCCTGGGTCCTTCATGCCCAGGTCTGATGAGGTCTTTGTGCAGACATTGAGGGTACTGACTGACACGTCTCCTGAATAGGGCATTGCCGTGGGCATGCCACAGAGCCTTTTATACCACATCGTTGATGATTGAGTTCATATCTGTCAACTACATCCTTGGGGGCATCGTCCCTGGAGAGAGCTCTGGCCATCTGTGCCTTGGAGGGAGCTATGGGACCCAGAGGATGACAGAAGAAGGAGACATGGTGGAGCGGTGAGTTCCTTGCCCAAACTGGGATCTTGGGACTACAGGACAATGAGCTGGTAGGTGGAGAACGTTGGTGGGAGAACAACAGGGATGCTTTGGGATCAAGTCATCTGGACCAAGCGGGAGTCAGAGCTGAGGACCAGCCAAGGACAGAGCCATGGTACAGAGGAGCAAACCCAGACCTCACCGATCACTGGTACTAGGGGTCCTGGGGAGGGGGGAAGAAACTTCTTTCTTACTGCCTACTTTCCTCTTGTGGATGTGTGAGGGTGGGGAGATGCCCTTGGGGAGGGGGCAGAAGGGAAAGGGGGAAGGCCCACCCAGGGTAGTATTAAAAGTCTGGAGGGTTATATAGGTCCATGGGACATGAATATCCGGACCTACCAGAGGGTAATCAAGCCTGCTGCTTGACTCTCTAACTGCCCTTGGTGGAGGGAGCAGAGCACCACATGAGATGGGACGGAATCTTCAGTGGATCTATGATCTCATCACTTTAGAGACTCACTCCATTAGTAGAGAAGGTGACCTACTGGTGCCAGTATTCTCATGTGGCCTTAAATCAGGAAGCCTGGGGTCTCAGGCAACCCACTAGGCAATGAAGAGGCCTGGCAGCTGTAAGTAGGCAACAGAATGTAGGTGCCAGCGCTGAGCACAAGCTCTGGAATGGCCAGGTGTTGATGGAATGGACCGTGTCTCAGAGGACCAGCCTAGCTAAGTGTAGAGAGGCCCATCATTAGAAGCTTGGTGGCTCAGTGATGAGCCCCTTGGTCACAAGACCCAGGAAATCAGTTCTTTAAAAAACTGCCTCTCTGGTCCTGATGGAAATTCAAACTCTCCATGAGCTCCCTTGGAAAATCTGCCCTGCCCCCTCTTCCCCCATCCCCTGGGCACCTGCCTCTCCTTCTCATCCCCCCAAACAAAACAAATAAGCACCATGGTAAACAGGACAAAACTCATTGGGAAGAAGCCCAGCCAGAGAAGGAGGGGAAGGGGGGGCTGGGCTCTTGGTAGGGCTGGGGTTTCCTAGAAGGCAGAGGGGAGGAGGCCAGTTTCCAGGTTGGCCTCCAAGTGGCTGGAGAGGGACAAGGAGGGAAGTGGCGGCATCCTCCCTTTGTGGTCTATAATTAGCCTTTCCACCACCTGCGCAGGCCATGAGCATGACTCAAGGCTCTACTCCCCTCTTCACTCCCCCCCCCCAAACACATTTCAGGGCCTGCCTTTTTCTCCAAGATCACAAGATTCAGAGCTGGAAGAGAAATGGGAAAAGGAAACTGAGGCCCAGAAAGCAGAAGGCACTTACCCAAGGCCGTACATAGTAAGCCTCAGAGATGGACTTTGAACCCACACCCTCCTAGTGTTAGTCCAGTATAAACTTGATTGGTACAAGCATTAGGATGGCAGCCCAGGGCCCTGGGGTCTGAAGGAGGTCAGCAAAGGGCAGGATGGAACACTCACTGAGGTGTCCAAGCTGAGTCAGAGGGGAGCTCCCTGTCCTGCCACTGGGAAGCAGTGACTCCCAGGCCAGGCTGGCCAAGCCTTGGGCATCTCCAGGGCCAAGAGCAGTTGTCCGATTCCTCACATCCTCCAAATTGAGTACTCTTGCATTCCCAAGGCAGACCTCGCATAGCCCTTATTTGACATACAAGCCATGTGCCTGAAACATTACATGCAGATTAAACTTTGGGGAATCAAATCCTGCTTTGGGGGGCCCCTGGGAGATTGCTACAGAGAGAAATTCTCTAGCAGATCTTTCCATTCAACTCAATGCTTTGCTTGCCTGGTCTGTAAATTCCTGGAGCCCTTCATGTAGCATGGCTTCAGAGTTGGGGTCCCTTACCTACCATAGGGCCTTTTGAGGTCCTGGACTTTCAAGGTGTGTGTCTGTCCAGTAGTGGAGAAAATCATTTACCTTCCCTTTGGAGGAGTTTATGGCCCAGCTGGGCAAACAAGAGACTTGGGCTAGCATAACAGAAAGACCTAGGTTTGACTCCTGACTTACTTAACAGCCACCACCACAATATTATGTCACATTTATATAGCTCTGAGCCTCCCTGTCCTCCTCAGTAGAATGAATCAACTGTGTACTTATTTATTCAGCACCCATTCTATGGGGAAAGTAATAGCACCTCCCCTCCCAGGGTTATTGTGAGGATCAAATGAAATATAATCAAATGAGATAAAATTCTCTGCAAACCTTAAAGTCCTATAGAAGTGTGAGCTCTTATTACTACATATGACAGAATTAGCAAGGACTATAGCATAATACACAGTGTCAAGCTGGAAGGCTATGGTGTCTGTTGTGCAAGAGGTGAGTAGATGGTCATGGACTGGAGTAGTTGTGAGAAGCTTCACAGAGGTAGGATTCAGGCAAGGTTTGCCCAGTATTCCAGGGATCCTCTTCCCCACCCCCAACCACCACCCCGCTGTTGGATTTCTGCCTTTCCCCCATGATCATAGGATGTCAGAAGAAAGGGTCTTAGAGATCATCTAATCCAACCCCAAGGCCCAGAAAAGTGAAGAAATGAAGCAGTTGGTTCAAGGATACATAGAGGAATATGTTGGCAGAGCCCAGATTGCAACGCGGGCCTCCTGCCCCTCAGCCTGGTATTTTTCCACTGTCTGGACCACACTGCCTCTTCTGTCCCAGGCTTCTTCAATCTCCCTACCCAATTCCCACTTCTATTCACTGGGCCTCCCCCCTAACTGTGGTTAGCTGCTGAGGGAAACCCTGGCCCAGCTTCCCAAGCTCTAGGAGTGAGAGAAGGAAGATGAGCTGGAGCAGGGCCAGACCACAGGGCATGGCTGCCCAGCCAAGGGCGAAGCCCAGAGACCAATACCAACCCCAGACAGAGGCAGCTGCTGCCGTCGCCTTCAAAATAACACAGTTGAGGTTTGCTCCTCCTTTGGGGTTTCTCGACTGTTTCCATTTCTATTATGCCTTTGTGTTTTCTTTCTTCTCCCAAACCCCCACCCCTTCCTTTTCTTTTTTTAATAGTCCTAGGACTGAGGCTTGGCAGTAAGGCTACGGTGGAGGGATTGTACCAGACATAATTGTGAATTCAGTAAAGTTAGGGTGAGCTCCCCTGTTGGGATTTCCCAGCACCATGGTGGCCAGTAATCTCATGTTGCCCCACATTGGTGTCACTGGGCAAGTCCCTTCTTCTCCCCAGTCTCCGTTGTCTTCTTCTATAAAAGGGGAGGGTTGGGGGAAAATACATGAATTCGAATGGTAGAGTTGAACTCGGTGGCCTCTGGGACCCTTCTAGCACGAGCATGCTGCAGAAACTAGCTTTTGCCTTCTTTGAGAATAGATAGTGAGGCGCAAAAGTGGTCATTGACATCCAGCCTTCCAGAGGGGCCCCGAGGCAGCCCACACTACAGGAAACTAAACTCTGATTCCTCACCCCTCTTCTGCCTTTTTTCCTTCTTTACTAGATCCACATGTGGTATGAATTGGAGGCCCTTCCTCATCCTGCCTGCCCTCCTGGAGGAATTTCCATCTGATCGATGTCCTTCTTGATCTGTGGTGCTGGGACCTTGCTATAATCCTCCAGATGGCTTTGCCAGGCCTGAGGACAGCAGGGTTACCACCTCTGTAGCCAGGACATCGAGGCTCTCTCTCTCTCTCTCTCTCTCTCTCTCTCTCTCTCTCTCTCTCTCTCTCTCTCTCTCTCTCTCTCTGTCTCGGTGCAGATCAAGAACATGTTAGCCCCTGAAAGCATTTCCTGGACTGTATTCCAAGGCTAAACAATTGTAGTATTTGTACATCCCTGCCATTAAATGCCTATCACAAGATAATTGTGTTGGATTTGGGCCTTTTCTGGCAAAAGCTTGACTTGTAGCATGCCTGGAAGAAGGATGGTTGCACACACTTAGGCACAGTGGGTAGTTAGCTAGCTTATATAGTATGAGCTGAGAACCCTGTCTGTCCCCAATTCTCATCTAGCAGCTTGTTTCAGGAACACTCTCCCTTCTTACTTGATCTAAAAGTACCCTCAGCATCCCTCTTTTGGGTTAGGCAATACAAATGAGGGCATTGTCTCCAGAAGGCCCACTTTTAAATAGAATTATTATAAATAATTACCTAGGAAGGCAGGGAGGCCTTTTAGCCATCCCCCTTTAGTTATACCAGCAGAAGCAGCACAGGGAGGGCTGATTGGATGCAGAAGACCTGGATTCAGATCCTAGCTACTTACTACCTGTGTGACCTTAGGCAAATCACTTCACTTTTCTGGGCTTTAGTATTTTCATCAGTAAAATTATGGGGTTGGACCACATCAGCAGTTCAAGGCCTTTGTTATGTCATGGACTCCTTGGGCAGTGTCTAGTGAAGTCGATAGACCCCCTTCTCAGAATAAAGTTTTTAAAGGCATGAGATAAAATACATGGGGTTGTATGGGAAACCAGTTACAGTTATCTCTTCCACATCTTGACTTTCCCCATCTTAGTTTCAATACATTGTGGATCAGCATTAGAAATTAAATGGGAATTTTGGGGGAGTTTTGCAGAAGCCGCAGACGGCATGCGAAAGCCAGCAGACAACACAGGAAAAGTTCAGAAACTCAGAAATGCACAAAATATATGTATAGTATTGGATAACATCAACATATTTTATCTTTTAATACCATAATAATCCAGACTTCTTCTCTGGTATGAAGGGAGGGCCAAAAAATTTTACGCAGATTTTCCAGATCACAGGGGCACTGAGCCCCTAACCCGGCGATGTGGAAGGGATAACTGTATATTGAAATACAGTTGTTGAAATATTAAAGAAAACAAGTTCATTTAGCCCCAGTTCTGAACCCCTGCCCTAGCTGGTCTCTGAGGCTCCTCCCAGCTCTACACCAATGATGCTGTTATTTTGTTGCCCTGGTTTGCTAGTTCCCACCTTAGAAGACACAGAGCTTGGTGGAAATGAGATGCAGGTTGGGCAAAGGAGTGAGGCCTATACAGAGGGGATTAGGGCAAAGACAACGGTAAGGGGATGGAGTTGAGGGCAGAAATTGCTTAGGGCCTGAGAGTTGGGAGATTTGGCTTTGAATCCCAGCTCTGACCTAGCTTTGGGTGAAATCACTTTGTCTTTCTTACCTTTGGTTTTCTCTTCCCTCCTTGGGGTCCATGACACTTATACTACCTGCTTAAAGGGGCTCTTGTGGGAATAGCATTTTGGGCACTGTAGAAATGGAAGGATTTCTGGGACCTCCCCAAGCACCCTGAGGTCAAAACCGCGGCCTGGGTGCTAGGAGTGCCAGAGGTTAAGTCAGAATTCCTGCCCCCTGGAAGGATCATATGATGTCAGAGCTGGAAGGGAAGACCTTTAGAGAAGGGGAGAACTAGCCAGAAGTCATACAGCAATAGGAAAACAGAGTCTAGAACCCAGTTCTCTTGCCACCCAGGAGAACGTGTTTCCTCTCTAACCCCGCTGTCAAACGATCCCTCAGCCAGGGGATTCCTCGGGAGCTGCTGCCACTGCTGTTCAGACCAAACTCAGCCAACTTGGGGGTTGGAGGCTTGGCTGGAAGGAGGCCGGGTTTGCTGTTTTAAATTGAATGTTTTGGAGGGTTATGGGATGGTCTGTTCTGGAAACCGTTGCAGACCGAGCCTCACAATAGTTTCCAATTTCTTTCCCAGCTTCTCTGTCCCCCCACTCCCATGCCCCAAGCTCTCAATTCACTGTCAGGCTCAGTGAATTTGTTTTTCTGCACCTTTAAGGTGACAAATCCTCCAGTTCAGCTGCTCCAGATGCCCCTGAGGCTTAGTATCATAGCATCCTAGATCTAAGGTTGGAAAGGCCCTCAGGGGTCATCAAGCCCTATCCTCTCATTTTACAGAGGAGGAAACTGAGGCCCATGGAGGGAAGTGACTTGCCCAGGGTAACATAGGATATGGGGTAGGATTGGAACTCGTAAGGTCTTCTGACTCCAAGGCCAGCACCATATGCATTATACTCCCCTGCCTCTCTTAATAATCCTAAGGGTGTCCGTTTTCTCTAGCACTTTGTTTTACAAAGCATTCCTCACACACACAGTCACTCTGGGAGGGAGACGGTGTTGGTGGTATTCTCCCTACTTCACAGAGAAGGAAAGTGAGGCTCAGAGAGGGGGAGTAACTTGATGAAAGTCCCACAGCTTGTGTCGAAACCGCGATTGGCTGCCTAAGCTGTGAACCTCCACCTACTGGGATGCCACCCTCAGGGGCGTCCTGCAGAGGTGAGGAAGCTTTGAAACTGACCCTACCCTGATCAGCAGCTTTGGGGCCCTAAGTGCAGACTTAAAAGGGCATTCCTTGGGCTCTTCTGCTGGCCAGATGGCAGCTGCTAGGTTTCCCCCAGCCCCCAGCCCCAGCTCCATCCAAAGGTCCTGACTCTATTCCATCATTTTCCCCACCTAGCCCCAAATCCCTCAAGTGCGTGCCTCCTTCACCTGGTGGGGCTGGAGAAGCCTGGGCCTCTTGTTCTCCTTTCCCCCCACCTCATCCTCCCTGGCCTCTCCCCTTCCTAACTGAATTGCCAGCGACCCTAGCTGACACCCCTGATCAGATCATTTCCCCTTTGTCCAGAATGTAGCTTCTGCCAAAGGCTGATTCCTGAGAAGTCAGCAAATTCCTTGCTCTAGTGAGGCTGAAAGGTTGAGTCCATCTGTTCTGGGAGCATTTCCTTGTCTTTATTGTATTCTCTCCCTCTTGGGAGAGAATTCTGGCTTCTGAGTCTTCAATTTCCTCCTGGAGTGGAGGAGGAGTGGGGAGATCATGGCAAGAACATTGAACTTGACATCAGGAGACCCAAGTCCGAGTTCCCTTGGCTCCTGGGAACAGTGATGTGGAGGACCCAGGTTTGGAGATAGGCTCCATTAAGGCAGGTCCTCCTGACTTCACAGCCCGTGCTCTATCCACTGCGCCACCTAGCTGCCCCATCAGCTATTTGTCTAACCTTGGATTACTTCATTTCCTTGGGTCTCAGTTTCCCCATCTGTAAAATGAGAGAGTAGGACTAAATTATTTCCGAGGTCCCTTCTGATTCTAGAGTTATGAGGTGATATCATGCTCCTTAATCCTGAGGATTTATTAAGGTCTAAATATGTCCCCAGCCTCATACTAGGCTCTGGGCAAGATACCAAGCTTAGACAGACACAGTCCCTATGAGCTCGTGAAGCTCACACACATGTAACCGTGATGTAGTATGAGGGCCATGCCGGACAGGCAGTGAGGTACAGTGGGTAGGGCACCGAGAGTCACCACGCCCTGGGTTGTCAGATTCTGTGCAAGCTGTCAGGGTCACTCCTTGCTGAGCCCTGCCCCCTCAGCCCTCCAATGGGGATAATGAAACCTGCACAACCTACTTCTCAAGGTGGGTATGAGGCGCCAACTTAACAGAAATCATTTTGCAAACCTTAAAATGCCGCATGTATTGTTCTTTGTGGACATTTAGCTTCCCTGGACAGAGCCTGGTCCTGCCCATGCAGACAGGATGCCATGGTTGGAGAGTCAATACCGCCTATCTGGAGCCCCTAGGCCCTGCTGTCCCCAGACTCGTCATAGAAATATAGAATTTTATAAATGAACTGGACATTTTGGCTCTTGCTGTCTAGTCATTTCAGTCATGTCTGACTCTTTGTGACCCCATTTGGGGTTTTCTTGGCAGAGATACTGGAGTGGTTTGCCATTTCCTTCTCCAGCTCATTTTACAGATGGGAAATGGAGACAGAGTTAAGTGACTTGCCCAGGGTCACACAGCTAGTAAGTGTCTGAGGCTAAATTTGAACTCAGGTCTTCCTGACTCCAGGCTTGGCCCTCTATTCACTACAGTGCCATCTAGCTGCCCAAACTGAACCTCAGAAGCCATCTAATCCATCTTCACCATTGTGCAGATGAGGAGAGTGACTTATCCAAAATCACACAGCTAGCTAACTGCAGAGGAGGACCCTAGTATCAGCCATGGACTCATCTGTAATCCCAGTCTCACAAAGTCACCCAGGTGAGAGAGGGGGGATGGTTCAGTGGTAGCCCATCCCCACTACCAGAGACACCAATCAAAGCACAAGTCCTGCTGATGGTGAGCAAAGGCAGCTCATTGCTAAGGTTCTCATGATGTGGGGAAGGGACTGCTCCGCCCCTGCACTTCCCACTGAGGCTGTGTGGATTGTAAAAAAGAACTAACCTGAGACAACCCAATCTCCCTAACTCAGAGAAAGAGGGGTGAGGAGAGAGGAACAGAAGTCACAGAAATACCTCTGTGCCTTTAAATTATTGCTAATAACTCAAAATAGCATACTAGAGGAGACGTGCTTGACTGAATAGATGAAGGTCACTTACATTAGGGTAGAATAGAAAAAGGGCCTGCTTGGGAGACAGAGGAGCTGGACTGAAGCCCTAGTCCTGATACTGCCTTGCTGTGTGACTGTGGCTAAGTCACTTACCCTTCTAGAAACTGTTTCCTCATCAGTAAAATGGGAATAACCTTCACACTTACTCAAGGGGTGCTGGGAGACCTATAAACCAGCAGTGTTAGAGAAGAGGGCCACTAAACCATATAGAAAGATCCCTGCTGGCTGCATATTGATTTTGAAAACTACAAATTAACATTATCTATGTTCTATTGTATTTTTATTTGTTTTATCAGGTATTTCTCAATTACATACATTCTCTTCTGGTTCCCGCTGGGTCAGCAGTGTTGTGAGCCAGCCTGAGGGCTGTGTGTCTGATACTTCTGCTGTAGGTTTTTCCTACTCTCTAAAAACAGGCGGTTGAGGTAGATGGTATTTCCGGTCCCTTTCAGCTTGGGAAGGTGTATGTTCCTCGGGTCACAAAGGTCAGAGGGCCTGGGTTCCAATACTGCCTCCGCCACTTCCTACTTGTGCCACCTTAAAGCACTCTAGAGGCCTGGGGTCAAGAGGCCTGAGTTTGAATCTATCCTTGGATACTAGCTGCATGATTCTGGGTAAGTCACATGGGATCATAGATTTAGAGACAGAAGGGCTCTTCAAGGTCATTCAGTAGAACCTCCTCGTTTTCCAAATGTGGAAATTGAGGCAAAGAGAGGTTA